GAGGCTAGAAGAAAAACAAAGGACTGCCCGCAAAAATCGTTCAAAGTCAGAGGAAGACTGGAAGACGAGGTTAGTGTGCTTGCCTCTGTGTGCAGTGTTGTGTCAGCACGAAGAGCTGACCCCGTCAGGTTTGGTGGTGCCACTGTTGTATTTGCAGACTTGGTCCCTGCAGGCTTCTGGAGAGAAGTGTCAGGCTTCGTCTCGGTTCCTTCCATCTCACGGCTTGCACACCCATATCCAAATACAAACCGTGTTGTCTTTTCTGAGCACCTCTTGGTTCTGACACAAAAAAGATGTTGCCACTGATAGCTGCTTGTAAGGACTGTTGTTGCTGATTAATTTATAATTGCCTCAAATTTGCATGATCGGCCAAAGAGAAGAGGAAACATTTCCTCCGGTAAACTTGATAGTTTATTGCCCGTGACTTCTCAGATCAGTTGCCATGTGCTGGCAGTATGGTGTTGCCACTACATACAGTTATTGTTGAAGTTGGTGAAATGACTTTATCACCCAGATATCCAAGTCATTGTCTCCTTTCTGGGAGGGTTACTAGCTACAAAAATTTGAAGAGCTAAGGGAAAAATTAGCTTACAAGGGATCTGCCAGGATGGTTGCTTTTTTTGGTTTTCTCTTACGAGCTAAGTAGAAACTGAAAACATGACCAAATGATAATGTAATTTGACCAGACAAGGTATATTTAAAAGTAGAATAATAAGTTGGTAGTCTCTTCACAGAAAAAGAATGGTAGGGCTACACTCTCTAAAAGCAAGTAAGCAAGCTTCATCTCTTCCCTATTAACTAGCTATTAATACACCTGGACACTGTGAATTCGATACCTTTAAAATGTCTGTTTGTAATTATAAATCACTTTTTTCTTTTTTTCAAATGAAGTCACCCATCATTCCAGAGCCCCAGGTTTGGACACGTCTGCCTTTGTCTTTTTCCTGTGCCTGCTCTCCTGAAGTGTTTGGGTTTGTTTGCCCTGAGACTGGTGGAAAATAACATCTCTGTAATGCTTCCAAGTAAACGTGTTAAGTGCTGGACAGCCTTGCACCTTCCTCTTCCTTTCCTGAATTCAGAGTGGTTCTACCTCTCACCACGTGTTTTCAAAGCAAGGGGTAGTTATGTTGTGTTGTTCCAGGTGCCTGAAGTAGTTTAAGGAATCTCTCAAAGCAGCTGAGGTTGGCATTGGAAATTGGGGAAGTCCCAGGGGGCAGTTCAGAGCGGTGGTTTCCAGGGTTTATAATTAGTGCAGACACTATTTTCCAGGTTCTTCAGTTGCTGTTGTGCAGGTACGGTAGACCTGCTCAGCACTTGCCTGGGATAGCTTTGTTTTCCAGGATGTTTATAAAGCTTTGGCAGAAAATTCCTAGCGTCTGATCTCTTTAATAGGAATGTCAAGCACGACTGCCTCCAAAAGATGAACATAAAGTGTGGAGGAAGAATTGTGGTTTTGGGGGGAAAAAAAAAAGCATGCCGTGAAGGGAAATTCTTTTACCTGTTCTCAGGTGGTCAGCTGTAGGTCTTCATCTACAGTGTAGTATAAACTCTGATGTAAACGACTGCAACTTCCTTGCCGCAGAAAAACAGACTTCTTTGTCTAGTAGAGTTCCTCCTTCATAAGACAGTTCTCCAAAGTGCCTAGAGATTATTTTTTTATTTTTTTTTTTTTAAATTTTGAATCCATCTTAGAAGTAGGGGGTCTTGGTGTTTCCAAAGAAGTGATCCACGTTGAACACTTGAAGTTTTAGAGGCTGACCAGCAGCCTTAAGTCTTGCGTAAAAGACTAGTTTGGTTCTGAAACACAGCGCTGGTCTGTTGCTTTTGATGAGAATCAGCCCCCTCCGCCCCCCACCGCTTACCTGCCGAGATTATCTGACCACTTTGGGTCTCCTGTGTCTCTCAGAAGTAGCTCTTCCCATCACCTTTCCCCTTCCTGTTGAAGTAGGTGGTCACCGGAGCAGGGACGACACGTCCCGACCTGTGTAAGTGTTACAGGCGCACTAGTGACGTGTGGGGTGGTAGAATCCCTCCGTGTGAGCGATGAGGGGACTGTGCTTGTAGCACTGCCTCCTGGCAAGCTCTGTGTGCTCCGGAGTCACCTGCTGTCACCTGCGAACTGGGCGCAGGTGCACACGCAGGCACCGGTTCCTTGGGAACAGCCGACTCACCCCGGGTGGAGGTGATGCGGTGGCGAACCATCGGCAGTACAGGGGTTGAACGAACTTCTGTTGACTTCAGTTCGCTTGACCAGGACAGCAGGAGGACCACTGAAGTGCTCCGCTGCTCAGTTTACCACCGTGGAGATGGTACAAGGCATTTCTTCCGACAGGCACCTCACGTCTTTTTTGCCAAGCAAGACTTGCCCTCTTACATAACCCTCCAATACCGGTGGCCTTTATGCTTTCGCTTTTTAAAGAGATCAAGTTATATTTGATCCAAATGTGCTTTAATTTCTGTTCTGAAAATTTACGGTGCCCTAGAAGGGAAGAGCCAAGTTAAAAGGGCTGCCTTGCACGCGCATGATTTACTTGACTGAGTGTGTTTGCTGCAGTGAGACGTATAAAGGAAGAACTGGCTTCTGCGGCCGGTGAGGAGGTGAAGGCAAGCTGTGGGGCATATTAACCACAGAAATGGCTTCTAGCAAGCAGACCTGTGCCATTAACACGGCTTGGCATAATACAACAAGAAGTTAAAATGCCAGAGGTCTGGCACTGTGGAGTGCGTGCTGCTGGGGCAGAAGATTGAGGAACGGGACCCAAACAGGAAAGTGGTGGTCAGTGAGGGGCAGCAGGATTGCCAGAAACGGCTGTGGGAGCAGAGGAAGGAGGACAAACCTCTGTGCCGGGGTGATTGGCCAGGGTTGTGCTCACCACAGGGGTAGCAGTACACGTGCCAGTGGTACAATCTTGTAAGTGCACCTTATTTTATGGGTAGATACTGCCCCTCCTCACACCCAAAGGTTATACACACTTGCAGGCGTAATCTGTGTGTGTGTATACACAGTGCCTCCAGATTAGATAGGAAGGGAGAGGGAAGGGAAGCGAGGAGGTGCTAAATTTCAGTGTTTCTACCACCAACCAGGTTAGCAAAAGCTTGCAAGTAACATCATGTGGAGGGAGTCAGCCTTCTGGCTGTTCAGATCAGCCCCCAGCGCTAACGGTGTCCTGCAACACAGTGAAGGTGTAATAAACCAGGACTCTTCCTGCAGCCTGTGGGTGATACTTCATCTGCACTGAGAGTAGCTGGCACACTTGCTCCGAGTTATGTGCGTTGCAAATCCAGGCTTTAAAAAACCAGGGGAAATCTAGATCCTGGGGAAATAATGTGTTTCTGTTTTCAGGACTGCAGTGCTTGTGGTGTTTACATGTCTTGCAAAAACGGTTACTGCTTATGCATGCCAAAATGATTGTTCACAACTGCTTTGAAGTAAAACTGTACCTGTCCTTTTTTAAGTGATGGTCTTGACTGCTACAAGTGACAAAATGCTGGGGTCAGTAATTTCACCTAGGAGATGTTTAAGTGGTGTGGCAAAGGAGGAGATCTAGCCACTGAAGTTGACTTCAAATTCAGTTATTAATTTAAAACCGAGGGCTTCTGCAACCACAGTAATTACTTTGAACGGTAAACTGCTGAAGATACAGCAAAGCAGTTCTGAACTTCCATAAAAGTGTGTGTTAATAGCTTCACTAACATGCTGTATGTTTCCTTGCAGATGGTTCCACCAAGGCCCCAATCCCTATACTGGTACGCAGGACTGGCTTTATTCTGGCAACTACTGGGACAGAAACTACTTTAACTTGCCTGATATTTATTAAAATGCAATAAGGAGCCCGTGACTGATACAAATAAGTCTTAATCTGTTTTAACGTTTTCCCTTGTTTTACTTACCTCCTGAAAAAAATGACCTGTTATCAAACAGAATATTAAGCATCTCCACAGTGTATCTGGTGGTACATGATCCGCAGTCCCATAGGTAGGGGAATAATATTTCTGGCTGATGGTGGGTCCTGCGTGGACAAAGTCAGTCGCCATGGTTTCGAGCTGCCCTGTTTGCTGAATACACCTATATTAGGTTGTGGTGTATGAGGAATAGAACACCTCTGGCTGTTCTGTGAATACTTTCTTTCATAGATAACAGTGGCACAAGTAAAACTGGTTTTATTTATTGTGACATGGGAATGTTTAAAAGCAGACACAGTAATTGCAATATTCTGTTCTTGAATGAAGAAGGGTGTGTCACTTTTGTAAAGATGTAATTTTTTCATAAAGTGACTTTTCTTTTACTGAAGTAATTCCCTTGAATCCTGAGCTCTGGTCAGAGATTCCAGAAGTGTTCCTGTCTCTGGAGCATTAATGCAGTTGTTTCAGCTGGTAACATTACTCAGAAGTATTTATTCAATGTTTTGTGCAGTGTGTTTTGAATTTTGCTCTCCTGTTTTGCTACCAACCTTATGGTTTAAGGAATTAAGAGCCATTTAAATATCTACAGATTTGATTTGAACTGCACACTAGTAACAGGTTTTAAAAGAATCTGTTTCATGCACTAGAAGTTCTGGTGCCCAGCGGCACTGCAAAAAGGCGAGAACCTGCTCAGTCCAGGACCCGGTGGAACATGGCAGGGGGACAGGACCTGTGTCTGTACTGTGCAGACTGCCTGGGAGGAGGAAGTCTTGTGCATTTCAAAGGTAGTACAGCACCTCAGTGAGGGCTCCTGTGCACAGCTGCTTTACCCCTTTTTCAGTGGGGTGCATTCAATCTTAGAGTGTAAGTTTATATTGAACTGTGTACAGAGCTTCTAGAGGGCAAGCTGCTCTTTGTACAATATTTTAACTGCTGTCTGGAGGTTAGTGTTAATTGAATAATTTAATTGCTACTAAATAAAGGCTTCAAAACTTCTTGCATCTAGTCTAAAGTGAGTGGTGTTTGACAGTGCTGACCCTTTCTGAGCAAGCCTGCTCCCAAAGCTGCTGCACCGAAGCTGCAGAGTGCTTCCCTGTGCTTCCCGGCCCTAAGCACCAAAAGTCTGCTCGTGTGTGTGTGTGTGTGTGTGTGTGTGTGTGTGTGTGTGAGCTTTCTGCTTGACTATGCAGTGAGGCTGCAGCTCTAGCCTTGAGCATGACTACTGAAACCCTGAATAAGTCAATGAGATCCTGTCTATTTTTATTCTGTGCACTACTAGAATTACCCAGGTAGGGACTCTGAGACTTATTTGCATAGATAAGGGAAAGCCTTTTCTTGGCAGCCTTTCATGGGAGGGCCCAGTTCTCACAGTGGCTTGTAGATGCAGAAACTGAATACTTGCACTGTCTCTTAGAAGCCTTATCTCTGCCCTCAAGCCTCTACTCTGGCCAGCATTTCTTAAAGTCTGTCTCAATTCCTGGGCAACTCCAAGTGGGATTCAGAGATATAAAGTTCTAGCTGTTGGGTCAGTGCTTCAGCAGATCACACAGCATTATACCTTCAGCACTAGGAAAACCAAAGCAATTAGTTCCTGCCTGCCCACCCAGCTTCAGGAGGGGGAAACCTCTATATACCATTAACTTTGTATCTTTTGTTTTGAGCAACTTCTGTTTTGTAAGAACAGATTTATTTCTTTTTCTAGACCTATTCATACTTTTAAGAGTCTGGCATATTGAAGTGACCGTAGCTGGAGTTGTGAAACCTCTAAGGCAAAATAAAGGTACTTTTTCTTAACCCCCTTCGTGGCAGCATAGCCTCAAGGGTCCTTGATAAACCTGTAGTTCAAGTGAATTGACCATGTGGGAGAATAATTCCTTCCTCTAGTTGAAAGTAGGACTGTCTTGCTCCTTGCTCTCGCTTGTACACAGTTCCTTCCTGGAGTATAACCCCAGCAGTATAGATTACACCTGGTTGCACTGAACTAACTTTGGGTCTGTATGTGATCTGTCAGAGACCGTGTTCACACACTCAGGAAGCTGGGCCGCCCTTCACTGAAACAGCTGCAGCACAAGTGTCTCAGTGGTCATAACTCATACAAAGTTAACAGTCAGGATGATGTGCTGTGCTAGGAAATTACGAAATGCATGGACGTGCAGTTCTGATTGCTGGCTTTTTTTGAGCATTTGCATTATTTGATTTATTACAATGTAAACTCCTCTTCCTGAAGTCCACGTGGCCTCTCTTCTCAACCTGTTTAAAAATTAACATTAACACAGTAGAAAGTGTGCAGCAAGCACTTCAATTGCACTTCAAGGTGAGGGTGTTTTGCCACATTCTGAGTATTACACAACTGCTGAAAGTTCAGGCTGCAGGCATAAAGATGTGTATAAATGCAAGATGAAAAACCTTGGTTACTTTAGACTAAAACCAGAGCAAGAGTAATATCACAAATTGCAAGGTATAACAAGCAGAAGGTGGCACTGGGTCTGTTATGCATACGTAACAAGTAGTTAACCACTGGTCTTAGACCCTATTGTCTTTTGAAAAGGGTTACATTAAGCTTTTAGTAGTAAAATCCAAAGAGTAGCCTCTCGCTGTGCAAGAGCCATGCAAGAAGCAAGCTTAGCTCTTCAAGACCCTGCTCTGGGAATGGGGCCTGACGCAGTGGTGGTGGGTCCTGTGAGAGCATTTACACCTGTGTGCTTACCACCAGCTTGTGAGCCTTTCTCTGCAGACTTCACATCATCCAGAAGGATGGCAACTGAGAAAACACTGGGTATAGGGGGCCTAGCCCCGGTTTCCTCTGCAGAATGAGAATTGCAGCTTGCCATAGCTGTTTCCTCAGCAGCTGGCCTGGCGACTGGGACTGGGACTGTAGTGAATCTCCTCCCAACACCTGCCTCTCGCTGTGCAAACACAGCGTGACTAGGAATAGGTTTCCAGTCCTCTGCGTTCTGAACATTAGAGCCCACTAAAATGAAAGGTGGAGCATTTTCCCTCTTGCTTCCTTCTTGCATCACATAAATTGGAGCAGATACTTGAGACAGCTGACCCCACTGTTGATCTTCCCCCCCAGAAAGACTGAGGGTTGCCTGGGAGCAAGGACCACCAGCTCCAGCAGGAGGAAGGGAACGTGGTGATTTTTGACCTTGTCTCAAGTCAGTTAGGCAATAGAGGGTCCACACATTAGTATGTGGTTGTAGCCGTCCTGCTTCACTTGATGCCATGGCTACAAAATTAAAAATAAGAGTGCTGGTATCAGGAGGGGTGAATTCCAGTCATATTGTAAAACCTTATGTCTAAACCAAACATACCTACACCAGGCAAACCCAAGCATGTTAGAGGGGAGAGCTGGGATAGCAAAGACTGTTTGGTATGTGGCTGACAAACACCTGCAGCCTAGAAAAACTGTTCATTGTCAGAGTAGAGCCTCTTCTGGGCAAGCATTTTTCTGGTATTTCTGAAACTGAAGTTTGCCAAGCTCCCCTAGAAGTCTGGTGGGTTTTTTTAAAACAACTCTGCCTAAGCTCAGCTCTCCTCTACACCATGCTCTGCTCAGACCTCACAGCTGTACTAGTTCTCCTGGGGCCTGGGACAGGGCTTGCACAGAGTCTGAAGTACCAGGGAGACTCAGGGCAGGGGAGCTCTACCCTGGAGGGTTTCTCCAGCTGGGCAAGGGAGGAGCTGGGCACGTCACCACAGGGAAGATGCTGGTGAGAGCCTCACCAAGAAAGCTGAGCTCTCTTGTCGTTTGTGGAAATAATGAGCAGGGCTTAGCCCACTCAGCCCAGCTGCAGAAACTCACCAAGATCAAGACAGCAGAGGCAACTACCACCATGTTTTTCCTAACTGGAAAACCTTCTAGGTCAGTGCTGGAATACGAGATCCTCAGGGGAGGAGAATCAAAAGTAGGGCTCCAACTGGTCACATCTCTTCAGCACCAGGGCACATGTATTACAGCTTACGTCTCCCAACACCTGCTTCAGAAAATACAGCGTGCTTTGAGCAAGACCATTTGGCATTAGTTGGCACCTTCCCATCACTCTCACCTGCACGTTTGCCCACAGGTGAGCAGAGCCCTGCCCAGAGCTAGCCACATCTCTTGGAGCAGATGTCAGAGAGACCAACACACATGCACTGGGGCCAAGCAGACAGTGTTGGTACAGTAGTTTCTTAGAAGTCATCTCCATCCTGCACTGCACTGACATAGGTGCTTTTCCATATAACGACTACTGATGAAGCTGTAGAGCCTGAAGCTGAAACAGGAAGATGACACAAAGACCTAAACTTTCTTACCTGACAAGACATACACTTGCTCAGCTGATTCCATGCGTGCTGTAGATTCCGTTCTCTCAGGATGGTACACTAAATCATCATCAGATGGACATAAGGTTGTATCACTTGGGCCTGCATCTATAGGCTGCTTGATCTTTAACAGATAAGCTGTTTGGTCTATGAAGGGAATTATTATTTTCTGTGGAAACTGCTCTATATAAGGTGGAACCTCTGCCTCCATAATCAGCTTATCATCCCAGCACAGTGATACAACCTCAGCGGTTGAGGTAACCTCAGCTTTGTTGCAGGAAGGCAGAGCCTGCAATGGATCTTCAGGAGCAGGTGATGGTGGTGGTGAAAGAGCTGATGGTGATGGTTCTTCCCACAAGGAGACCGAGGAAGAATCTTGATTTACATCATTTGTTGAGACATCAGCCTGGCTGCCTGAGGGCCCTAGTTCTCCAGCTGTGGAGGACTGACTCCACACTCCTGATTGTGACCTAACAGCCTCTACGGGAGTCTCAGCTGCTGGGGCAGCAGAAGCATCTTCAGCAGCACCTTCTGAAGGTGTAAATTCATTCTCTGAGGTCTGAGAGTCTTTGTGAAAAGTCTGCACGCTGGTTGACACATCCCTCAAAGAATATACAGAATCACTGTTACCTAGCATATGGGCAGCGAGCTGTGCAGGCTCAGCAGGGATGTACACCAGTTCAGCTTCCTCGGGGGATGAAGCTGCATCAGATCCAGGGGTGGAATCGCTTCCTGCAATGGAACTGGTGGTTGATGGGTGTTGAGTTACTCTGGAGCTATATTGAATATCAGGTTCTTCAAGGATCTGGTCTTCCTCTGTGTCAGTACACTTGTCCCTTCGCTTGGGCTCCCCAGAAAACAAAGTAACTCTGTACTCTGATGTCTCCTCTTCCAGTCTCTTGTTCCCATTTTCTGCAAAGTAGAAAGCACATAAAGGCAATACATGAGCAACTGTTTCCATTTAAATAAAATTAAGAGTGATTTCAGCACCAGCTCAGTTAGATGCTCTACAGCACATTTAAGAGGCTTCCCAGGTTGTAGAGATGGAATAATTTAAGGAGGGGGTTTGCTGCTTGCCTATCAGTAAGAGGAAAGAAAATTCAGAGAGCAGTGGTACCACTTCAAAATCTAGGAAGCCTTAACTGTACTCCTGATCCTGCAGTGATGGCTACATTCTTATCTACTGCCCATAAATATTGCTACACTTATGGGTTAGGAAATTAAACCTTTTCCATTAAGCACCGTAGCTAAGCCAGCTAGAAGACCATGGCTCCTCTTTGCAGCACATCAGAACTCTTTGGATCCATACAAATTATTTTAGGTGCATTGATGGTGACATTTTAGGTTCCTCAAGAATCTTGATTAGTTGAACTGACAGGTGATCCAAGTGAAGAATAGGGTAAGACACAAACAAGTTTTAGATAGTGAAAAATGGCTTCTAGATTAGTTATCAAGGGAGGAACAGAGGAGAGTACTTGTGGGATCAAAACAGTCTTCCATCACATGGTTAATAAAACCTTCCGCATTGGAAAAAAACAACAAAACAAGAGGTCTGGTTTCTGTCATGATTAGCAAGTGTTGGACAACAGGTAAAACCAGCACAGTAGCAGAAGAGAATGTGAATCTTTAATACATCATCACAGCTCAGCACTAAGCTGTCCTCTGAAGTCATAACTGGACGAGATCAGAAATGATGAGAGAAACGTAACTCAAAGGATGACAGAGCTAAATCCTCTCTGAAAAATACGATTCTGACTGCCATCCCAAGCCAACCCAGACCCATCTGTAATCCAGTGTCAGTGTCGGGCAGTGCCACAGAGAAGAAAGGCTCCCTCGCAGCTACGGAAACCAGCTGGCTGCCTGCTGCTGCACCACCAGTCCCAAAACCCGTGCTGGCACTGGGCAGGAGACTCACTCCAGAGGAAACCTTGCTCGAGCTTGCTAAGGAATTCCTCTCTGATCATCCCTTTTCTTGAAACAGTTACATGACCACATCGTAGCAGATGGACCACGCAGAAAGAGAGGGGTACAGCAGGGACCTGTACTGGAGGTTGGTGACCATGCAGGGGTCAGTTCACAATCACATAAGCAAACCACTGACAGGCATTCAGACAGAAAATTTCTGCATTGTGCAGCCACTCTCCATCACACCTGAAAAGTCATGGCAGTCAGGCAAAGTCCCCAGTGACTGGAGTAAAGGGAATACTACACCCATTAAAAAAAAAAAAAAAAAAAAAAAAAAAAAGAGAATTAATAAGGAGAACACTGGGAACTACTGACCAGTCAGCCTCACTTCTGTACCTGGTAAGATCATGGTACAGACCCTCCTGGAAAATACGTCAAAACATACAGAAGACAGTGAGGTGATTAAAGACAGCCAGCACAGCTTTACTGAGGGCAAACTGTGACTGACTTAATCTCGTGGTCTTCTATGATGGAGTGACAGCATCAGAGGACACCAGAAGAACTACAGATGCCATCTACCTAGACTTCTGTAAGGCCTTTGATACAGTTACCCCACAACATTCTGACCACTAAACGGGAGAGATGGGTCTGACGGATGGGCTGTTAGATGGGTAAGGAAGTGGCTGGATGGCTGCATCCAAAGAGTTAGAGTCAATGGCTCAGTTTCCAAGTGGAAACCAGTAATGAGTAGTATCCCTCAAGGGTCCATACTGGGACCAGTAATATTTAATATCTTCATCAATGAAAAAGAGTTGCATTGAGTGCACCCTCAGCAAGTTCGTGGATGACACCAAGCTGAGTGGTGCAGTGGATGCACTAGAGGGAAGGGGGTGTCATCCAGAGGGACCTGGACAGGCTTGAGGAGTGGGCCCATGTGAACGCCATGAAGTTCAACAAGGCCAAGGGCAAGGCCCTGTACCCGGGTTAAGGCGATCCCCGATATCAATACAGACTAGACGAGCCCTGCAGAAAATGACTCAAAGATACTGGTGGATGAAAAAATGGGAATGACCCAGCAGTGTGCGCCCGCAGCCCAGAAAGCCAACCATACCCTGGGCTGCATCAAGAGAAGGGTGGCCAGCAGGTCGAGGGAGGGGATTCTGCCCCTCTGCTCCGCTCTGGTGAGACACCCCCTCCCCCCCCCCCCCCCCCAAGTGCTGGGTCCAGCTCTGGGATTCACAAGTACAGGAAAGACATGGACCTGTTGGAACGGGTCTGGAGGAAGGGCACAAAAATCAGAGGGATGGAGCACCTCTCCTATGAAGAAAGGCTGAGAGAGTTGGGGCTGTTCAATGTGGAGAGAAAGCTCCAGGGAGACCTTACTGTGGCCTTTCAATACTTAAAGGGGGCTTCAAGGAGGACAGAGAAAGACTTTTTACCGAGGCCTGCACTGACAGGATAAGGAGCAACAGTTTTAAATCAAAAGAGGGTAGATTTAGATTAGATATCAGGAATATTTTTTTACAATGAGGATGGTGAGACACTGGCACAGGGTGCCCAAAGAAGCTGTGGCTGCCCCCTCCCTGGAAGATTTCAAGGTCAGGTTGGACGGGGCTTTGAACAACCTGGTCTAGTGGAAGAGACTAGATGATCTTTAAGGTCCCTTCCAACCCAAACCATTCTGTGATTCCATGATGATGTAAAAATTGCTATGTCATATCATTAATGCAACATTTTCAAATGCACCAAAATTCAGCCTTTGGTGATACTTTAAGTTGCACTGCAACACCCACCAGTCATTTTTACAAAGAAGAAAGCTGCTTCAAAGTGCTGCAATCAGTGGTGGTTAGCATTTTTAGAGGAGATCCTAAGATAGGAATAAGATAATAGCACTTTCTGGTCATAGCTGGGGCTTCTCTTCCTTGCTGTAATTACCCTAGTGTACAGCTTTCAAATTATAGCCTAAGGCTGTCCAAAGTGCTGGCTGGTTCCAGGGTTACTTAGAACCCAACTTAGGTGGCCTTTCTGAATAAAGGGAATATTTGAAGCTGCTGACATTTACAGTAACCAGACAATGGAGACACAAACCAGTGGGGTAGATACAAACAGGCTGTGGGCTAGGCAACACACCCCTATCACTGCTCCCACACAACCTTCAGGAGGCACCATATATTGCAGCCCTTACAGCCAAACCCAGGGAGCAGCTGAAAGCTCCCAGCACTTCCCAGAGGAGTCAGCATCCCAGAAAACTATATCATCTTTTTATAAACAGAGATACACGATATCTATTTGCAAAGAACAGGTACGTGTAAAGTTGCTATCTGCTTAGAGGGTGATAAATCACACTGCAGTATCTTAAAATTAAAATGACCAAAGGCATCCAGGCTCTCCTCTATACTCAAGGAGAAAGTACAACATCCCAGGAGATTAATTATTCCCACATTAAATAGAAGCAAGTGCTTTCTGAAGTGAAGCCTTTTCAAAAGCCCTGAGCCTATGTGCCTCTTTCACATGACTAGACATGGCTGGGATGCACCCCGTAAGTGGAAATGACTTGCATAATGTTTGGGTTGGAACAGTCTCAAAATATTTTAAAAGAACAAACAGCAACTATCTTACCTCTAGTGCACTCAAACTTTTCAACCAGGTCTGCTAGATCCAGATTTGGATGCCCTGAAAGCAGAAGGAGAAATTAAGCTGGAGTAGAAGAGCACTCACAAGTAGCTCAGCTCTTTAGAGGAAGCACTAGTAGGAACAAACCTTTTTGAAAGGTGAGGAGGTCTTGGAAATAGAGTGCAAAAAACTCAGCAATGTTGTCTGGGTTGTCTAATACGACAGCCCGGCTCACCCCCTCGAGCAGGATCCGGAGGCTGGACGGAACAGCCAGGCTGACCTTTGAATACTGCATCTTCGCCCGCTCAAGCTGACTCACGGCTTTGCCATCTGCACAAACAGACCCCTCGGCTGAGCGCCCACCCCGCCCCGGTGTGAAGTGCCCAGTGCCCACGGCGTGGTCGCGGCTACTCATCCCTTGCCACGCCACCAGTAACCCTCCTACCCCGCTTCCCAAACACTCCTTTAACTTCAAGGGAGCGACCAAATCCTTTACACTTTACCCCTCCGCACCTTTGGGCAGCAGGGGGCACGGTCAGGGGAGCCAGCCAGCTAGGGAACCCACGGTATGAATCCAAACCCAGGCCCCAAATTCCAGGTTTTTTTTAAAGATAAAGCCCACCAAAGCACCCCGCCATGAGCCACCGAAGCTATTTGTGTTCAAGCTAAGTTTACGGGTCACTTCTTCCTCCCCCTCCTCCTCCATCCCCTCCAGTACTTGCTCCCTCCTGCTCCCGGCCTCCGGCTGGGCCCCCGCAGGCAGCGGGGGGGCGCGATGTCACAGTGCCCTGATGTCACCCACGGCGGCGCCGAGCTCCATCCAGGGCACTGCTGTCCCTTCATACCCCAGCGGCTTATGGCTGCACGGGCAGAACTTGAAACAAACCTCAACAGCCCCGCGGATAGAACTTGCTTTCCAGTACACGTTTTCGGTGGATGCACACAAGGTCATTTTCCTTCCAATAAAACAAGCACAAAAAAGGTAACTGTAGTGTGACGTCTTTTCAAGGTTACTGCTGACTGTTTCTGAGGATCACAAAGGCAAGCCATGGTCCGTAGCCTGCTGGGGGATAAAAACTTTTATCCACCAACAACGCTACAGATTAGTCTTCATCAAAGTTGGAAAACCACCATCCACCTACTCACCCTTGCATCCCTGGATGTCTGCATCTCCAAAAAACCCAAGGGTAATGCCAGCAGCACGGAAGATTTAAGACTCAAGCGTCATTGCTGCTAAAGTGTCTGGGCTATCTACAATAGCTTCCTTTAATAAGTAACATATTCATAATAGGTCATTCGAAATCAACAGAATGTTACATCACTTTCAAGTTAGTTCACTGGCAAGTATGTTAATGGTAAACTCACCACAAACTGCTTCTTCCATAAAAGAATCCTTAGAAAGTATTTTCTCATTAAGAGAACTTCTCACAGTAGATCACCAGTCCTGGAGAGCGACAACACAGACTACAGTATCAAAAAAGTTAAATATGAACATGCTAGGATTTATGAAATTAGGAAGAATAGCTTTCCTGTAGAAAGGTTAAGATATACTTCAAGAATATTTATGAGGACTAGAAAACACATTATTTCTGGAGTCATAGTAATTCTGAAGTCCCTTTCTATATGGAGAACATATGGAAGCAACAGGACTTCATAAAGGCATTAAAC